GGAAATTTTCACCACTAGCATTCTACAGCACTGCAAAAAAAATCCGCAAGCAGTAGTCGATGCCACATGAAATGATCGAAGACCTTTGTCGAGGATATATCTTAGGAAACGAATCAATGTTAGACGTGCTAGGATCCGCACAGTAAAATGTGGAGACGGGCAGTGTATAATAAGGGAAGGAAATTAGGATAGCTTAGCGGTTAGTGATGAGAGCCATCAGGTAGCAAGAGCTGCTGGTTCGGCCGACGACCTCGCCAACGCTCTCTGTGACAATTACATGAGAACAACCTAGCTCTGCTAAAGCTCCAACATTGCAAGAAGAACAGACTTGGCCAGCAAACTGCGATTTTCCTAACGAAAACAAAATCTTCAAGCCGCAACCTAAACGACAGGCGAGATGTTGACGACCTTTGTAGAGGACGAGTCCGAGGATAAGCGAATCGAATGCAAAAAGTGCTGGCTGGGATCGATGAAATAGATGTGATGACGGAGGGATAATGTGAGATAAGAAAAAAATGCATTATATAGATTATATATGACGTCATCAGGACCAGTAGGAAGATATTCTCAACCAATTAAAGGACGAGATCAAATAATTCTAGAAAACTAGCTCAATAATCACTTCTCGTCTCAACACGTAGTATATCCACGCAAGAAGTGAGATGCATGTAGATCGAATGTCCAGACTTGCCGCCTCTCCTCTCCTTCAATCTCTCATACCTAATTTTTCGCCTAGGTAACATAGTCTCCCAAAAGGTTTGCCGCCCGCCTGGCTTAGAGATGTTCTCAATTGTCAGACTGCGAAGTACAGCGTGGGGTTCAACACCCCAGCAGCGCCACCCTAGCTGAGGAGTCCGACGTTTCCACCGGCAAAGCCCAGCTAAGAGTAAAACGTATGAGAAATAACTGCCGTATTGGTAGCTATTAGTCACAAGGGGGTATTCTCTTAAAGGCCGGCGACTACTCTAATGGGGTGACGACCTGAGGAAGCCCTGGCTAGGCTTACCTAGGTACTCTAGGGAACAAAACAGTTGAACCAGCACAGTTTCCGTGTTCTGAGGCATGCACTATCACTGAAGACGGGCAGTCCAAATATCGAAGTTCATGTGAGTGAATAAATAGCAGATGGGCCAGATATGCCAAGGTTTTCGTGGAGTGGCACAGTGGTTTCGACTGCGTCTCCGAGGCTCGCAAAGCCTTATAATCTCTCCTCGGGTTAGCGAACTGACCAGACTTGTCTGGAGGATAGCAGCACTGACTTGATAGATCGGTAGACCATTGTGAGTAATTGTAAAGGTCAGATACCCATTCAATAAGCTCTAGCGATGCTTGACGAAGTCAAATGTATGGCGCATCCCATAGGAATTAATCAACGCCGAGAGCTTTTTCGAGCTCTTCAATAACTACCACGCATCTCTCGCTCCTGGTGATATTGATTCGGTAAAATTGCCGATATATGAGGAGTGTATTAATCAGAACGCGTTAGCAGAACGATAACAACAATTCAAATTCTTAATATTTTCCCGCTTTTTTTTTGAAGAGGCATGACGTCATAAGGCTCATTCAAGCGCGTGCAGCGGTAGCACGCGCCCTCGCTTTTTATGTACCGCTACTCTAAGCTCTTGGATGATCTCTACAATATAAGCAATATTTTAATCATCACATCCACCTAATAATGTCACTAATTCAAAGTAATTAGCCCATTCCCCTTTCCACAGAGAATTCTAAAGCTTAGCAGTTAGGAGGCTTTAAGAAGTGGAACTTTGTTCAATGGAATCAATCTCGTAAGAATACGAAACAACGGTGAAACAAGTGAGAAAAGCATTGAGAAGGACATCAGTGTTTGAATTTAAGGGGAAAATGGCGACGATGGGGCGCTTAACGAGTTAGCAAAAAAAAAAACGTACTTTTCAATTACTAGATAGATGAATGGACGACGGAACGAGATAGAATGAGAGAGTATCGGTTAAAAAAAGGACGAGCTGAATTAGATAAGGCGGGCACACGGGGCGCGTATTCCCAGATAGTGGACGTGGACGTGAACGGAGATGGGGATGGGTAGGCGTAGGGGGATGGGGACGGGGTTAACGTGGATCAAAAGCAATCTCACACTAACCCTTCGCGGACGGCAGCAAGGTCGATCTCGCGAGTGGTGCGCGAATTTCGTTCTTCAACAAAGATTTTTATCCTTAAGTAGTCTGAGTCAGCCCTGTTTAACAGACCACTGACATGCGTGGCTCAAAAATGATTGCACGGCATACTGAAATTTTTACCCTTTTCCGGAAAACTTTGGATTCCTTGTACCACTCTGATAAAAACATGATTTTCTCTGCAAGTTCTATAGTTTTATTGCATATATATGTATATGTGTATGCATATATATGTACATATATATATAATATATATATATATATGTACATACATATATATATTAATCTATGTATATATATATATATATATATATATGTCTGCAAAGAAAACTCCGAATGAGAAACGTAATTTTATTTTCGATCTCACAGTGCACTATGAAAACCTTTCTGATGACCAGTTTAAATCTCGAATTTGCCGAGATTTGGGCTATCGAATGAGCCTAGGTGGTGCGATAAAAACGATCCACGGACTTCAGCTAAGCAAATAATGCAAACGAAGTGTGAAAAATAGTTACATTTCCAATGCTGCAACGAACTACAAGGGATTTTTTTTTGAGAACCAAGCAAAGTGTGGAATCCCCGCGCTTTCGACTTTCGAATGGTTACTTAAATTTTAGACAAAGAGCTTAAAAAGACCTTCGAAAATTGAGGGTCAAAATGACCCTCATCGTTCACAAAGGATTAATCGGCGCCAATTCTTTTATTTAACCGTTTTCTTAGCAGTGATATGATATTGTAAATAAATATTCAATGGTGTTGAGTAATATGTGAAACTCTGGGCCTCAGTGGTAGGAAGTTGAACCAGCGTTTCACCCTCTCCGGGACCGCATGCTAACCACTGAACTACCGGAGCTTGTGTTCTGCGATCACTCAACATCATCGGATCTATAATCCTATAAAGCAACAATAAGATGTTGCCGGACTCAAGTGGACAACAGCCAGCCTTTTCTGAGCCTAAATGATCTCTGTGCTCTCCGTCTACTGGTAAATGTATTCCTACTGCGTAAGTTAATGATTGTGCTTCGAAATGCGCAGAATCTACTCTTGACATCGACTCAGTCAATTATGTCTGCAATTAAGTAAATGGCTGTCCTCGATCTGTTTGTGGCCGACAAAGTGATTCGAATCGCTGCTGTACTGAAAAAATCATACTCACAAGGATCAGTGAACCTTCTTTATCCCACATCAAGAAACCCAGAGCCGGTGATTGCATGTAGAGTGCAAAACTAAAAACACCCTACTCTTGAACCTCAAGATTATCCATCTGTATTTACAGCATTTTCGTTGATCGTCGAGTGACTTGAGCCGGTACCACTGAAACATTCATTTTTCCCTATCATGTACAAGTGTGATCCAATGGACTTTTTCGATGCAAGGAAAGAAGGGATGAGGCCAGTCCACAGAATCCCTTGACGTAGGGAAACGAGGGTCAGGTCTATAAGTGTCATCTATGAATGCGAATCTCCCGACGACCAACGACAAGACGACCAAAGATTCAACTGATTGCGAAAGCGAAGTGGTGGAAGCATGACAAATCTGACTCATCAAACCACTTTCCTATGCGTACCAAACACTTGATGGACAGATTACGAAAGATCGCAAAGAACACGACATATTCACAAGAGCGGGAAACAGACGGAAAATCTACGACAATCGGATAATGGAATTAGAATGACAAAATGGGGTTCTTAGCTGTGAGACGGAAAGAAATGATAAGAAACGATCTCATTCGCTGGACAAGAACTTTTCATAAAAGTGTTGGTAATCATTCGACAGCTTGACTCTCGGCCTACTGCGCTACGTGCTCGTTCTTTAAAAAGGCCTTTTGATAGCACTCTAGCATTCAAAACCAAATTATGTTTCATATTCCCGAGCGCTTTCATTTTCATCACGCTTATAATTCGTTAGAAACACAAAAAACACATGAGCGTGTATTTATCTCAAGTTTTGTTTTTCAAAGCGGACAAAAAATCCTAAAATCAGCGACGAAAATCGCAAACCAGAGAGAGTCGCGCCAGCGCGATCGATCGATCGCGTATCGATCCACGGCCAACACACACACCAGCCGACAAGCAAATGTGCAGCGTATGTGAAACTCGATTTTATTTCTGCTGCTACACTGCAATGAAATGGTCTTTACAGAAAACAAGCATAACGTTGGAATCGTCGGAACTTACGCTATCGAATGGTTACGTATAGATCAAGTGGAAAGTCCTATTCCGCGAGAAATACGCGTGTGTGGAACACAAAACTTTTCTTTTTGCTACAGCGTTGTGTAGAGCCTTTTTGAGAAGCGAACGTATTTTTGAATTCTTTGAGATTTGAGCTATCGAATGATCACTAGCGACCTGAGGAAAGACTTTATCCAGCGAAATATAAACGTGATTAAGGTAGAGCGCGTGCGAAACGAAATTTTTTATCCAGTGCTACAGTTCTATAGGATACTTTTTTCAAACGAGCTCGTAGCGCGGTAGCTTGAGATTTAAGCTTTCGATTGATTACTAACACTCTTAAAAAAAGTTCTTGTCCAGCAAAAAAGATCGTTTCTTCATTTCCTTCCTTCTAACAGAAAAAAACCTAGAATAGTATAGAGAACTTACAGGGGATCGAGATTGCTGAAAGAAGCACAACACGATCAACCGACCACATGAAATGTACGTAAGTGAAGAACGAAGCAGTCAGAGAGTGAAGATCAAACAAGCAAACAAACAAACAGATAACTAACTGGAAACCTCTGACAATGCGAGGAAATAAAATCGATACGAAATTCGCCTACTTAACCGTTTTTGAGCAGTGGTATAATGTCGCTACTGTCCATCAAAAAAAGTCGAATATTAAGCAAAAACTTTGAACCTCGGGCAGGAGCTGAACCCGCGTCTCACCCTTTCTGAGGACGCGTGCTAATCACTGCACTATCGGAGTTCCCCCTTTCGCCACTCTTCCACGAGACTCCATAGGACTATTACAGATCTCTCTAGGCCACGTAGGCCAAGCAAGATTAACCCAAGCTTCCCATGAAGGAAGCTTTCCGCTGCTAGTAGAACACGAAAGCAAGCTATCAACGACCATAAGACTAGTCACTAACCCTTTCACAGCAACAAAGCACCGCATTGCTAGCCATCGCATTTCAATTACTATGTATTCTGCAGATAGGAAAGTAGCGCAGTGGTTAGAGGTGCTCTGCGTCGCGCATAGGGTCGGTCAATGGTTCGATCTCGCGCTCGTAGCTCACCAAGCCATCCATCCCTTCGGGGTCGGTATATTGATACCAGACAGGTTTCAGATTTATCTAGGAGGATAAGCAGCACTGACTCGGTCCAGCGGGAGGCCACCGAGAGTAAAGACCAGACATGCATTCATCCCCTCAAACAGTTAAAAATTGGAGAGGAGCGCATGACGCATCCCTCAGGGATTGATCAACGCCGAGAGCTTTATCCTTTATACTTACCCTTTTGAGTATTCTGTGATCTGTAACAAGTAAGACTCTTTATAAAAATAGGAAAAAGGCTTAGAATGGACTTTGAGAGCCAAAGCAAAAGGGTAAATCGTGGCCATAAAAGGATAAAAATTCAAACCCGTAGATCCAAGAGTATTGAATGGTAGGAGGATATTCGATGCCGGACAAGAGCAGAACCCGCGTTTCACGTACACCGCAACAGAAGGAGTGGCATTAAAGCTATAGCATTGGTGGCGTACCGGTAGTACGCGCCCGCGGTAGAGGTGGACGCGGGTTCAACTCCCGCCTGTGTTCGACTGATTTGCGTAGCACTCAGTAATTTTATATGGACATTTATAACATTATAACACCGCTAAAAAGTGGTAAAAATGAGGAATTCACGGAGACTTGACCCGCAGATTTGGGCTCCTGGTCGCACACGTCAAAAAAGCCAGAGTTCGTACGTCGTCGTTAGAAATACAGAATATGAATACCCAGTGATATAGAGTGATGTGCAAAACTTTTGCGTCAGGCGGGACTCGAACCCGCATTTCACTCTGTCCGGGAGCTTGAAGTCTAACCCTTGCACTAGTGACGCCCAATGTGCCATCACTCTTTCTATGCTACAATGCAACACAATGTATATTTGAGCATGACGATGTTCAAGTAAGTAAAAGCTTTACACAATGAGTGAAAGACCATAGCACGAAAATATTGAGTTGGCAAGAAATTTTCCGGGCTTCTTCGTTTTTGTTGATCATTTTTAATGCATTTGAGTTTTTGTTCCCACTGTCGTTGAGAGCAGCTTTATGCGGTTATTTTGATATACAACATTTATATATTTGTTTCATGATGTAACTGTCCCGAGAGCAAAAACGATCGTTGATGCTACACGGGTATCGTAAGGTTCCAAAGCAGCGCTTGAACTCAGACGGTGCTCGTGAAGCATCAAAAATTGTTTTTACTCTCGAAAAAAGCTCCATCTTAGAACAAACGCAGGCTCTGAAGAAGGCGGGTTGCCAAAACGTCAGGCGAGTTACTGAGACTACTTTACTTTAGCAACCTCGCGTCAGCTAATCAAGATAAGTTTTCTCGATTTTCATATATCAGTTGATTATGCCGAGGTTTATAGAAAGTCGAACTTTTGAACTGAAACGCATAAGTGTTATATATTGAAATAACCGCAAGAAGCTACTCTACACGACAGTGCAAACAAAAACTTAGAAGCATTGAAGATAATTGAGAAGAATGGAAAAGTCTGAAGAATCTCTTGCCAACCCCATAGATGTTCACGCTAACGCAGAATTATGGTCCCATCACTTTTTAAACCCAAACCTAAGCCTAAGCGTGCTCTCGGAATTTCCTGCTCAAGGGAATTAATAAGAAGAAGATACTTTGAAAATTGATGAGATCACTACCTTTTGAAAGGGCTCAAATACCTAAGTATTTACAGCCATTTTTTTCTAATGATGGATAGTCTTCGAAGAAAACCGACATTCCTTCGACCTCAGCATAAATAATCAATCATTCTCCTTATTGATTAAGCCGATAGCGAGGTTGACAAGTAGATTTTACTCGGTTAACTTTCGAGATTTTCGTCCTCTTCAGAATTCACAGAGGATCCGAGTCCCTTGCTCAGCGCAGAACCGCTTCTCCTCGTTGTAATCTTCGTCTTTGTCTTTGTCTTTGTCTTCGCTTCGTTCAAATCGAAATCTTGTGGTGGAAAACCATTCAGAAGAACTTCACTCGGCGACATTTTAGATATCCCGTTGACAACGATGTGAGCTGTTTTTAGCTCACAACCGCATGTGCAGCGGCGCGGTGCGGAGTCTTCATTAGCACGCTGTGCACTGTAAATATGAGAACTTGTGTGGCAATTCGAGGTACTGAGGGTGTATTATTTATATCGGATAAGATATAAAGGGAGGGGCAGAATTTTCATCGTCGTTGCCAAGCGAGCGGATACAGGCCGATTGTTGACGGTACTGATTGCTCGTTGATAATATTTTGTTCCTAGCGTAGAAAGAGCGGTGGCAAGACAGGCGTCGCTAGCGCAATTGGTTAGAGTACGCGCTACTAAAAGAGTGAAATGCGGATTCGAGTTCCGCCTGACGTCAAAGTTTTGCACATCACTCAACATCATTGGATATAATCTGTTCCGGTTTCTAATAGGTGGCAATCCATCCGAAAACGGACGACATGAAGGAGACGAAGACGTCGAGACGCTAGCCGAATAGGGTTTATATGTCAATCTCGTGGTATGTGCTGAGTCATAAAAGAAGCAGTTATTGATTAGCAATGCCAAGGTTAAAGAAAAATCGATTTTCAGAGTATTACTGAGCTTCGTGCCAACAGATAACGACACCACCTGCTCCAAGATGAATTGCCCGCTGAGAAACAAAAAGAAAATATAGTCAAAGGGCAATAAATGACATCAACAACCGCTCTGTATATCATCACCGAGTGAGATCGATCTTTCATTCGAGTGGTGGTGCTTCACGAAAGAAGCCTCGATTGGAACGACAGCGAAAGCGAGAAGATCACAACGAGCACGAACGACTATGGACAATCGGCCTGAATCATCAGCTCTGAGAAAGACGAAAATTTACATATCAACCTCTTGGTATGCGCTGAATTATCAGAAAAACCCCCGTATCGCAGAAGAAGTGGTACGAGATGCCTCCTTGGCGCAATTGGCTGGCACGGGCTCTCGGAAAGGGGGGAATGCGAGTTCGATTCCCGCCTGAGCTTCAAAGTTTTGCATATCACTCCATATAACGATTATACAGTTATTACATCATACAACAGCTAGAAGAGCAATGGAATAACGGAGGAAATATGAAGGAGAAATCCTTATGGGAACCTTAGAACAATCTATCGGACTATGTTGCATTTTTTGAACAAGGTCTCAAAATAGTCGATTGGAAGGTATTGACATATATGCTTGCGTATCAGACGTATTCATGCAATCGACAATCAATCACTCTGAGAAACGCAACATCAAGTAATTTCTTCACTTGCCGCAGAGTGGCACTTCTTCGGCGCCGTTGCTGATAGCAGCAAGCAGAGGTGAGTCGCAGGGCATGCGGTATTGATGAGGCGTGCGATGGGAAATCAGCGAAGCCTACGTATAGCACCGACCTGCCTAAACCAGACCTCTTCAAAAGCTTGAAACATTCCATCAGACCTTATGGGAACGTTGGTAGCACTCAGAGTCTGATCGTGAAAGTCGCTAGAGTCGCTGAGAACTTTTGATCTGCACGAATAAATATATAGTTTCGAATACTACCAATGAAAGAAGGCGCAATCGACCTCAATAGTAAATAGAAAACCGCTGTGACCTTGAGGATAGAACGCTAATTTGAATGACTCGTTGGAGACTCGCAGGGAGAGAGAGAGAGACGGAGACCATCAAATGCCGCTTCCGTCGTCATCATCGTCGTCAATAGAATTGTCGCGCTCGACGCTAGAAACGTCGGCGACGACACAACAGGAAGCAGATAAGAGCGCCCACGAGCGGGAGGCAGTGAGCACTGAGCACGACGTTAGATTAGCCGAAAAACATCGCCCACTGGATCGATTAGCACTCTCGAGTAGTCATCAGATCGTTCTCTTTCGGACTGGACAGACATGCAGGCCAGGGAGAGGGGACTAGGATAGGTAACTGGGGTAAAGGAGAGGGCAACTGGGTTACGCGAGACCCTCGAAGGATGGACTAGATCTGGGGCGGGTCATTCCACGGCGGCAACGGCGGCGCCTTATCTGCTGACGTCACGTACGCCGAAATCGGAGCGAAGCACCGCGAACTATCACAGACACAACTGATCTCGAGGAGGATAACGATGAAATCGTTAGGCACAAAGTAGTAAACAGACAGCATGACCCATAGGGTCAAGTGACCTACAGGGTTACCTGACCCACATGGTAACATGACCCATAGGGCAGCTGGAAAGCACAGCCCGGGTTGGACTCAATGGCATTGAGAGTGAATGACGAATGATAGCGATGCTCCAGTCGCCCGTGAGTGACGCTAGCAATCAGAGCCGCCGAATGCGGAAAATGCAGCCGCGTCGCGTCGTCAAAACGCGTCACGGTTGCCATCGTATCGGGACCACCGATGTCCACTTTGCCTGCAACTAGCAAGCAGTGAGCGTGGCTCTGTGGTTAGGGGTGCTCGGCGCCGCACATAAGGTCAATGGTTCGATCTCGTGCTCAAGACTGACCAGGCCATGAATCCCCTCCGGGATCAGCAAATTGGTGCCCCACTGTTCCCGGACTCGTCCGGGATTGTAGGCAGCACTGACTCGATACACTGGGAGGCCACCGTGAGTCATTAAAAAGCCTCAAACAGGATTAAAAATTAAAGACTAGTGCATGACGGATCCCTCAGGAGGCGATGAACGGCGAGAGCTTTATCCTCTATCCTTTTCCCATACAATGGAAGAGCTGATGCTGCTCACAGCTGTCCATGAAAGCCTCTTGTCAC